CTGAAAAGAAGAAGGAGCAAAAGAAGCAAGTAGGCGAAAAATATTAAGAAGAAAGAAAAAGGGCAAATAATAATAATAATAATAGTAATAATAATAATAACAATAATAACAATAATTTCAACAATACGGTGTTTAAACACAACCAGTATAATCAACAATTCGTCCTTGCATGGAGTATTGCTGCCATATATGGTCTGGAGCCCCTTCTGTTTGCCTCGGGGTTCTTGATAGTCTCCAGAGGCGGATATGCAATATAATTGGCCCTGTTCTGGCATCTCGTCTACAGTCGCTCTCTCACAGACGCGCCGTCGCCTCTCTCTGTCTGTTTTACAAATACTTTCATGGCAATTGCTCAGAGGAGCTGCATTCGCTGGTTCCCAGACTTCATGAGTTCAAGCGCCCTACGAGGCTGGCATCCTGCTCTCACCCTTTCACTGTCAAAACTCCTAAATGTAGCTGCCTCTTCTACTCCAATAGCTTCATGTCTCGCACCTCTCGCCTGTGGGACTCCCCTATTCCAGTTTCCCTGAGAGCTATAATCTCCAGCTATTCAAATGTAATGTCAATCGATATCTCCAGTTGCCTTGATCTATCCACTATCCTTCTCCTCATCCTTTCTTCTATCACTCCTATCTGATCTCGCTTTATATCTTCTGTAACCCCTTGCGTCCTAGTGGCTTCCCGCCTTGCTTGGGGTGAAACGCTTAAAAAAAAGTAATAATATGAACACTAGGAATGATAGCAAAGAATGCTGATTCAGTGGTGCCTAAATCCTTGGCATCAGTTTAAACTGACACCTTTTTTCTATCATATATCTAAACTATTATGATAAAGTACAAATTACACTGAAATATGTTGGAAAAATTGCAAGTTTTCATTTGAAACCTAGAAAATTGGAATAGCTTTTTGCAACGCGTGTCTTTTTTCCATCAATACCACTCCCCCGTTCCGACAAGCGCGTCAGGAAGCTGGTCTGATACTATCCACTTGTCCTTTTAGTCTTCAATATGTTTTGTTAGTGTTAAATTTTCCAAATCTTTCTTCCTCATTATGTATCCAAGAAAATCAGCCGTCTCTTTCTGATTCTGTCCTTGTTATCATTTGCCTTAAAACTTCCTCGTTGCTTATTCGCTCCGTCCTTGATATTGCCAGAGTCCTTATTTAAAATCAAATTTCTGTTACTTCCAGCTTTCTCTTCATCTCAGAAGAAATTGTCTTTCATTCACTAGCATATAGGAGGACTGATCTTACAGAGCAGTTCAGCACAGTTTTCTTTGTTTTTAACGAAATTTTCCTGTTTCTTAATAATTTGCTTAGTTGTTTAGTGGCATTCTTGCTATTCCACCGCGCGTTCGGATTTGGGTGTACATTACTATTCAAGTTCCTTGATGTCATTTAAACTGCATCAAAGGTTAAAAAAAAAACTTAGTGTCAAAATCTTCTGTGTTTTTGTGTGTTTAGTTTACGTGTGTGCGGATTGTCTAAAGATACGCATATATACCCTCCTTAATAGCTATTTTGTTATTAAAAAAAAAACATTATTTACATTATTCGGACTATTGTCCTCATCTTTGTCGCCATATTTATCACAACGTTTCCGCCGTTGTACGCTCCGGCCTTCTTCAGGTGGTTTGAATTTCGAACTGAACCCTTTATTTCGCTCACTGGGGTAGACTGTTCCGAAACGTTGTGATAAATATGGCGACAAAGATGAGGACAATAGTTCGAATAATGTGAATAATGTACATAATACCTCATCTCAGAAATATAGACAGACTCTAAAAAACATATTTTAATTTTTAGCATTATGAGTGTTATCCAGGGACAATAATTAGCAAAAAAAAACATGTTTATAATAATAATAATCAAGCTAAGCATAAGGTTGTGGGAGCATCCTGTTAGTATTATCATTACTAATTCTGCTATGGTTGTAGTAAAAAATGTTAATGTTTTTTAACATTACTTATGTCATGTAATATTACTTATGACGAAATAGTTTTATTAAAAAAAAATCTGAAAAAGTTGGTCATTGATTCAAATTAGAAAGTGTTATGGTATGCTATGAAAAAAATCGACACCAATAACATTTATTTATTTCATCAGAAAATTAAAAAAGCATGTCAATTGTGTGACTTGCTCTTTTTTGATTAATGGTGTCATTATTAGGAACATATCCATTATTTAAGCGACAATTTCATGAGTTTAAGTAGAGAGAAGTAGAGAGAATTCCCCCAAAATACATATTTTTTGTTGATAGTGGTGATGATTATAACATGAAGCAAAATATTTCATAAAGAACAAATCAAAATAAAATATAATATCTCTCTCTGAGTAAGGTTGAGATTTGATTTAAAACATTTTATATAAAATTGCTTCAATTGTCTTAAGACATCTTTTACAATTAGATGTTATTCGAATGACAGTGTTATTTACAATAATTTTTATGGGAGCAGGTAGTTGTGTATAGGTATTTCTTTGTTTAAATGATTTGTCAGTCTTCATTTTAATGATGTCGATATGTAACCTATATAGTTACTCTTACAAGAGTCACAGTACATCGATCTGAAGCAGAGTAACAATTGGATCATTGGTAGACATATACGTAGTATCTAATATTAGTTAAAAGAAAATACAGTATTCCATCAAAACTATTTTTATCCTTCCAGTGTTGTGGGTGATATATAGGCCTGCAAATAGATATTGAATAATGGAAGACAACAAACAAAATGAAGAATTGAGTAAAAAAATATACTGCCAAGTTTATTTTCATTAGAGAAAATACATCAACAAAAATAATGTTACGGTGCACAAGGCAAAAAATATTTCTGTATGTTCATGTAGAGAAGAAGGACAGTTTTGATGGTTATTGAGAAGTGTTGTCCTGAAAAGGACAGTTCATTGCATATTGTTGCTACTGGCAAGGATGGCTGAATGGTGGGACTTGATGCCTCTGGAGATAACTGGAGCAGCAGCCGATGGTGATCTGGAGTTGCAGATGATGGGCCATCTGTCAGCTGCATGCTATTTTTTGAAACCTTTTTATATCCTGGATCAATTTTACAACAATTGCTGGTTAAGTTTTTTCTGATGATTGTTTTTAAAAAATGTGGGTGTACTGACAGAATATGACACCAGAAGAATTTTATTTTTTTCAATAAAGAACTGTTCATGCAATATCGATTCCCTGGAATGCTGTAAAGAGACAGTTTTCTGTGAAATTGGATTTTGTTTCCATTAAAAGAATTCTGTGAAACCTAGAATAGATAAGTTGAAGGTGCGATATTTGGTGAATATAACAAATGATTGAAAACTTCCTGTAACAGCCTTTGTTTGTTCACTAAAGAAATATGCCATCTAGTGTTAACTTTTCTCTTAACTAATTTCCAGACACTTTTCATCAATTGTTGCCTTCAGTTGCTCAAACTTGGAGCTGTACGTGTTCAAATTAATTATTTGATTCTCTGAAAATTTCTCATACTTGTTTTCTAATTCTACCATATACACAAAATCACCAGATTGGTATTTGTTACAATAAAAAGAATTCAATAATGATTGAATAACTGATAACCTGAAAAAGCATTCTCTGCTGAATATATCAGATACAGGAAAACTATATAGCCAAACTGTAACAACTTTTGCTTGGTTGCAAAAGAAACATGAGATTTAGTGTTATAGAAATATAGGATTTTTTCATTTTGTCATTCAATATATATATATATATATATATATATATATATATATATATATATATATATATATATATAGTTTATACATTATTTTATAGGTACAAATAATTAAGTAAACATCATTTCATAATATATGACATCATTTCTTTATGTTAAGATACGCTTCAAACAGATATGAGCATTTGAGAGAAATCATGGTAAATTTGTAGTTTAAAAGCAGTAATTCAACCTTGCTAACCAGACACTTCCTCTGTAGCTAAATGGTATAGCATGTCAGGCTATATGACAGTTCCATGAAGGGTACAGGTTTGATTCCTGTTGGAGGACACATATTTTCTATGAAATTTCTCGGACATTCAGTCCGGTAAATGCTGTTAATACTGTTTATTATAAACAGAGTATTTACTTAAATATTTGTATCTATAAAGATAATGTATAAACAAAAAATATATTAATCAAAGTTTCAGAAAGTATATTTTATTTTTGAAAAATTTTTCATTGTGACCAAATAAAACCACACATATTTTACATAGAGAACAAATTTTTGTATCGCTTTAAGGCATGGGCTACCAGGAATCCCTTCATTGAGTTTATCGGACCCTTTTTCAAACAATCCGAGGGCTTCAACTACAAGTGGAATTATTGATGACGTCATGTGCCACATTTTGGAGATTTCGATTTCAAGATCCTTGTATTTTCATAGTTTTTTTTTAAGATCATAAGTGATTATAAATAACCCAGTTGGAATTGGAACACGGCTCTCCGATTACCAATTCCGTGCTGTTATGCATTACATCATCCTTACGACCAAGATTACAGTTACCTACTATACCCAAGCGGTCACCCATCTAGTTACTGACCAGGTTCGATGTTGTTTAACTTCAGTGATCGTAGAATTAGTTTTTTTTTTAACGTGATGTACCCTTAAGCGATTACTGCCTCCATCTAGTTTAAACGGGAATAATGTTCGAATCAATAGCTTGTTTCTCTAGAAAGAAATCACACTGGAAATAAACCTTCCAACCCTGTATTATATATAGCAGCTCCTTCTAGAAAAAAAAAACCCTTAGTGGTTGTCTTTTCATTGCTTTTCGTAAAACGTTGCTTTTTCGTTAGGTTTTGATATAGAAAAGCGACAGCAGAATAAAGAATAGTTCCCCGAAGCACTGTATGTACTGACCAGATTCGACGTTGATTAACTTCGGTGATCTTACGAGAACCCGTGTTTCCACGTGATTTGGTCGTAAGCCGGAAGTGTTTTAACAGAAGATGAAAATAATAATAATAATAATAATCCGGTTATGGAGATAGGAC